CAGTGCGGCGCTAGGGGGCGCTGTACTGCCAGGAGCGGGCGGAGGGCTCAGCAGGGGGCGCTCTCCCCTGGCAGTCAGTGCTGGCCCCAGTGCGGCGCTAGGGGGCGCTGTCCTGCAGGGAGCGGGTGGGGGGCTCAGCAGGGGGCGGTCTCCCCTGGCAGTCAGTGACCAGTACTGTGCTGCAGGAGTTCGTCCTTTAGATGAACGTCAATCAGCTGCTCCTCACTGGAGGTTAGGCCAAGGACCCTGCCGGCCATTCAGATTCCAGTGCCAGTCATGACAGTGTGCTGCCTGGATCCCCTGCACTTCCATCCCCACACACTGATCACCTCCTGCCCTAGACTCTCGGGCAGTGCTGCTGTGCGGCTGTTAACAGCTGCCTGCCACTCCTCAGGAGGAATTCAGCCCCGGTGAGGGACCCCTGTATAAACCACCTCTGCCCCACCCCAGAGGTGGCAGCATCTCAGCATCGGGTAAGACAACTGCCCTGCACTCGTGTCTATGATCTAAGGGCAGGTCTTCACTACGGGGGGGGGGGTCGATTTAAGATACGCAAATTCAGCTACACGAATAGCGTAGCTGAATTCGACGTATCGCAGCCGACTTACCCCGCTGTAAGGACGGTGGCAAAATCGACCTCCGCGGCTTCCCTTCGACGGCGCTTACTCCCACCTCCGCTGGTGGAGTAAGAGCGTCGATTCGGGGATCGACTGTCGCGTCCCGACAAGACGCGATAATTCGATCCCCGAGAGGTCGATTTCTACCCGCCGATTCAGGCAGGTAGTGTAGACCCAGCCTAAGACCCCTAAGGATGGCAGCAGGAGAGGACTTTCTGATGAGCCCCGCACATGGCTAGATCCCTGCACGGATACAAAAATGTGGATGTGCATCAGCCCGCGATCCACTAGCCGTCTGTATCCGCATCCTCATGGGTAGCAGCAAGCCCTCACAAGGGCTAGCGAGGGGGGGAAGGGGTCTTGCTTGGAAGAGGCAGCGCGAGGGTGGGGCTTGGGGGTAAGGGACAGCTTGGAGGGGGTGGGGGCTTGGGGGTAAGGGGCAGCATGGAGGGGGCAGGGTCTAGAGGAGAATGGGTAGCGCGGGGGCGGGGTCTCAAGAAGGGGCAGCGTGGCGGGCGTGGGGGCTGGGGGGAGGGGTTTCTCATCACGTGATGCTCCTGGGGGGTCACAAGCGACGGTACACGGCAGCAGCAGAGCATGTTGCATCACAGTGGGGTGCTGCCCGGGAGCTGGTGGGGACGCTGGTGCTGCTCAGCGTGGCAAGGCGAGTGGGTGCCGGCCAGCCCCGACTCCGACCTGTCGCCCAGCCACTGGCTGCTGGCCGGCGGCCCCGAGCGCACTGCGCCCCCCAGGCTGCCTGAGCCGGATGCCGTGGGCCAGACGCTGCTGGGGAGTAGAGCCCGACCTGGATGTATCTGCAACCGATCCACTATCCGCAGAAATGGTGCATGGATATGCAGGGCTCCACACATGGCTGACCCCAAACCAGCCCCTCCCCCTTGGGCCCAGCCTGCCAGGTGTGACCCCCACCCCCAAGGCCAGGAAGCAGACGGCCTGGTACCTCCATGACGTCCTTGAGCCTGGGGGTCCAGCGGGAAAGCAGGTAGGTGGACTCCGGCCGCACCTTCCTCTCGGGTCGCAGCTGCCTGCTCTGGGGGAGGAAGGGAGAGGGGGTGAGAGGCAGCAGGGAGGGGGTGCGGGATGGGAACGGGGGCAGACAGGGAGAGCGCAGCCTACCTGAGTCGCTCCAGCCGGGCTGGCAGGGGAGGGGCAGAGAAAAGAACAGAATGGATCACTGAGCGAGAGAGAGAGAGAGAGAGAGGAGGGGAGAGAGACTGATGGGAGAACAGAGACGCTTCCCCCCATTCGTCGCATGGCCACCCCATGCAGTGGTCACCAGCTCCAGCTCCCTGACGATCTGAGGTCCTGACCCCCAGGGTCCTCTGCAGGGCAGAAGAGGTCACCCCAGATGGGGAGTAACTCGGGGGTCACCCTCATATGGGGAGGGCGTCACCCCACTGTATGGGGCAGAGGCCACCTCTGTGCTGGGAATAGGTCACTGCCATGGAGGGCACCCCCGGGATGGCCTGGGCTCCCCTGCCATGGGTACAACTGCTGGCCCCTGGCCCCAGTCCCTTACCCCAGGCGTGAGAGAGATGCCCAGGAAGTCCATGTTGTGGATGCTGCCCCTCAGCTGCTGGATGTTGGCAGACTGGATCAGCTTGTCGAGGATCACCTTGCTCACACCTGCATGGGGAGAGACAGGTCAGTGCTAGCACCCTTGGGACGCACCCACAGCCTTGGCACATTCAGTCCGTGGCCCCAGGAGTCCTAGTTCCCTGATCAAACCCTGAGATCCTGCTCTTCCTACCCCTCCCAGAGCTGGGGGTAGAACTAGGGTGACCAGACAGTAAGTGTGAAAAATCGGGACAGAGGGTGGGGGGTAATAGGTGCCTATATAAGAAAAAGCCCCAAATATCAGGACTGTCCCTATAAAATCGGGACATCTGGTCACCCTAGGTAGAACCCAGGAGTCCTGGCTCCCAGCCCCCCTCTAACCCACTAGACCGCACGCAGTTAATGACTGAATTTAGGTTCTTGATGCTCTTCCCTCCCTCCAGAGGTTCTCTCGGGCGCTGGGGGCAGGGGTCTCTCTAGCTCCCCCTGGCAGTGCAGAGGGAGTCCCCCTCCCCCTGATCTGGGCTCCCCCATCTGCAGCCAGTCAGGTACAGTGTCAGAGCCGAGGCCTGGGTCCTTAAGACTGGCTGCAGATGGGGGAGCCCAGATCAGGGGGAGGGGGACTCCCTCTGTACTGCCAGGGGGAGCTAGAGAATGGGCCAGGGGGCTGCTCGGGGTGTACGTCTCCATCCCCCGTCCCTGCAGAGAACGGGCCGGGGGGGGCCGTTCCGGGTGTGTGTCTCCATTTCCCCTCCCTGCAGAGAATGGGCCGGGGGAATCGTGGAGGGCGGACACTGCTGGGAAGGCAGCAGCAGGGAGCAAAGGCCGCCAGATCCGACCCCAGGGGGCAGTGCGGAGCATGGGCGCGGCACACTGTCTGGCTCGCAGGCACCGAGAGGTGGGCAGAGGGGAGACAGGGCCGTAGAGCCAGGCTGGACACAGGCCCCGGGAAGC